AAAAGTTACAATGTTCCTGAATAGAGGGTTACTTCATCAACATGTCCTGTGCACATTATGATGATGTATGTTCCTGCCATCCTTCTTTCCCAAATTACCTACACTAGATACCATCTGTGAAATTAGGGTATCCAATTAAGGAACAGGAGAGAAGGGTCAAAGTAAAGAGGAGAGACAAAGATGCAAATCACACGTTTCCATGAACAGAAGAACAGTATTTACCACAAATTCCAACTCCCAATACAAATCTTCAATAGAGGATTGGTTCGGCTCTTGAGGCTAAAAGTGTGGTCTAATGTGGAAATAACTGAGCTTCATATCAAACAACATTTTTATTGAAAATTCCACTTATGTTTTCACTTTCCTAAGTGATATTACACAGGAAATGCCGGTAGCTGCATGGATCTTTGAAAGAGAGGGTAGATGAAATAGGTGAGAGTGTACATTTCAACAGACCAGACTTAAAATAACATATATTATGACTTTTATGAAAAGCGTGATACGTACTTATTTTGCACTGATTTTTTTTTTTTTTCTTTCATTCTGGGGCATGCAGCTTTGTCCTATTCTCTCTTTTTTTCCCATCCCTCACTTGATGTTGCCAGGCTGGGTCCCACACTGCTCATTACAAGGAGTGAACAGAATGTCCTTTACCTTTCGGGGTGAATGAAAAAACATTTGAGAAATTATTTCTCACTTGTGTGAGGTTTAGTTTCAAATTCATTGGCTCCCATGTCCCCAGAATCATTGAGTAATTTGAAATTAAAAACTTCAAGTTCTTTTTCATGAGTTGGAACAATAGCTTTTATATCTGTTGGCACATATAACTGACAGGGTACTGGCAACAGGCAATTTGCAGCATGAGTTGCCAATGCCTGTGTGCATATTTCTAAGAATAACTCAGTGTCCAAGAATTTGGCCTGTTGTATCACAAGCCAGGACTAGCTGACAGCTGTTTTAAATTACAGTGGACTGAATGATATTAGCTTTATTGTAGTTGGACTGATGCTTTGCTTTCTCTTAATCGTCCTAATGTTCTGATTTGTTCTTTAGCCAGCGGTTGCACAGCATTTATTTATAACACTCAAGGTTTAAGTCACAAATGACAGATTGGTTGGATTGTCTTGTGCACATGGAACATGATCAAAGTAAAGGACTACACAGTCAGGGAAATTTAAGCTTCTTTGCAAGGGACAGCCTATAGATCCAAGGCTAGGATTTTCCTTGCAAAGCAGAAAAGACTGGCTCTCAAACAGACCTGTTCTAATTTTCCTAGAAGGAAGGTATATATTCCAAGTCTTGCATGCTATTGTGAGCTACATATTCACATCCCACTTCAATTCTTCATGGGGAATAACACAAAAGGTTAGACATCAGCCTGCTAACTGCTGTGCACTTCTATTAATTACAGAGTTTGGAACTAATTTATTTTATCAAGCACTAATGTCTACTTGGGGCCAAATCTTGTTCACATTATAGTCCATAGTTAATTTTCTAAAGACTTTTCTGGGAACGGAGTATGGCTATTAAATTTTCTTGCATGTGAACCCTTAACAGTTCATTAGAAATTTCCTACTCCTTCAGGAGAAAATAAATGGATACAGATTTTGTTTTGCTCAGTTGTCAAAATAATGAAATAAATCATTTACAAGGAACACCAAAAAGCTGAATATTCTGATTCAAGGTGCAGGATAGAAATCTCCTACTCTGATTGGCACTGGGAAATCTGAAAAGGCTTCCTATGTCCAGTTTTAGGCACTACACTTGAAGATGCAGCTAAATTTTGGAGTCCACATGAAGGCAACAAAAGTCATTAATCTAAATGTAATTCATAAAAAGAAATGAGAACTGTGGGAAGGGTATGGCAGAATAGAATACTATGTGTTAACAGCCTTCAACTGTGTGAAAGACTATGGTACAACAGGAAGGATAAGCCCATTCTCCATTTCCAGCAATAAACCAAGATGCAGCAGGCTTAAACTGCAGCAACAAAAGTAGATCAGACTCTTGGTGCGGGTTCTCCCGTGGAGACGTAGCAAAGCATTGAACTGCCTGCCAGAAAAAGTGGGGAGTGTTTTTCTGCACAGGTTTTTGAGAAAAGCTTGTTCATGCCACAGGTGGAGAGATGAGTAAAGAGACCTTCCAAGGGCACTCACAGCTCTAAGATCATATGATCTGTAGGGTTTTTTATTACTCCTTTAATTTATTTGAATTTAATAGCCTGGATAATAGCCCTCACTATTTGTCATTACTATTTCTACTTGAATATTCTTGGAGTTAGTGCTGCATGCTATTGAAAGTATGCTGTCCATATGCTTTCTTGGTTCTGCTGAAGCAATGCCATAGCAGTGGTAAGACCTCACTGACACACAGAAAAAAAAATAAATATAATAAGTAGAACAAACAAAACACCACACTTACAGACAGATCCCAAAGAACTCCATTAACAGGAAGTTGTGTCAGACCCTTGTACATCAATGGTTTGAAGGCTATGACCTTTGTTTTATTTTACTTTGTGTTTCAGGCTACAAAACAAAAATTAAAGGAAGCATAGGACAGAAACCAATGTCTGAAAATGGCAATATCTTTCTCTTTATTTTAAGGATATTGCATTGGTCAAGCATTGGTACAGCTTGCATTTAGCACTAGGGTCTACCTGTCTTGTTCTATATAGGGAAGCCCATGTAACATTGTGCCCTATGAAGACTCTACTTAATTATATATTCTCAATTTAATTTGGTAAAGTCAACACTCAGCTAGTTATGGAACAACTAATCTTTTCTCCTAATCAGCAAAATTGTGAAAGAAGAAGAGAACTGCTTTTTGAAAAAGAATGCATCTCTTTAAGACTCTCTGGATCCTTTGTGGTCTCTGTGATAAATGTGCATGAGAGAAAGAAAATTTCCATGTTCATATGGTAAATTTTCCTGAACATTGGCGGCTCTGCAGTCTCTTGCATTACAAACCTAACACTGCACAGAACATAACATGTTTTCTAAAGAGCCAAGACATAGTCAGTAGAACCTGCTAATTTTGTAAAAACAGCAATAAATAATGAAAATAAGTGAAGTTGTCATATGCTCCAGTGATAAATGGTAGTGATAGCACCAGTGCTACAGCTGTGGCCTCCTTCAAAACCATTCTATCCACAGGTAAACCAGAACAGAACGCTCTTTCCACCAGAGTTCCTTCTTTCATGCACACACACACACACACACACACACACACACACACACACATTTTTTTCTAAATGTACTTTTGTAAAAAAATTCTCCTATCTGCTTTATTCTTTTGGTTGAACTCCCACATCCACACACTTAAGTCATCAACGTATTTTGTTTTTTATCCTTTGTTTCACTGTCTCATGGGGATTCCCTCTAATTCAGTATGTAGGGATTGCAAGGGATTAATAGAATAGAGAGTAAAACATCCAAATCTCTCATGATTCCAGAAGTGGATAATTTCTCTTTATCTTTCCAGCTATTCCTCACAGAGTTGTTCATTAAAACAACCACACTAAACCATTCTTTCTTCTAAAGGTAGGTAAGCTTTTGGAAAGGGATTTATTTTTAATCAGTGCTAACAATCTCTTATGGTCTATGGAATATACTCAGTATAAAAAGGATAAATCTTCAGACTAAAGTATAAAAATCTGCTAACCATTACATGGATTTTGAGGGTGTACCTCCAGCTTGCAACTTTGAACACTTGCCCCTTTGCCTGTCTTGAACTGGCTGAGGAATTTCCAGACCTGATGTATCACTAGAAAGAAAGTACTGGATGGTGCACTAATGGTACTGTTTGAAATTTAAACGTACTGGGCTTTCTCGACATGAAAAAGGAAGTATTTCCAAGGAATGCTTGGAATGTATTCAGCCAGAAAATATATTTAATTATATTGAAACTGAATCCTAACCTTATTATAGATGACTACCCTTGCTGATAGCTAAGGACAAAGAAGGATTTAAGGAAAGAATTGCAAAAATATGTTCTAGTGGCAAAAGCACTAAACAGGGTTAAGGGACAAAGGTGCTAAACTTACCATACTTAAGCCACATTAATCTTTCCATTAGTACATTAAAAAAAAATCACAACTTTCCATCTCAAGTCATTATGTTGATGGGGTATCTTTGATCTGAAAAAACAGCAATGATCCCAATGGGAAGCAAGAAGTGTTTTTGATTTTTATCTGTAAAGTCTAAAATTCCTTAGGTGAAATTCAGTATGAAATGCATCCATGCAATGATGAAGGTGAGTGAATATGTCAACATCTGTGCTTTATTAAAGCTGGACTATTTTTACTAGGCACTGAACCAGAGAGACCAAATACCCTGATAAAACCAGAAACTCCAGGAAGGGTTCTTTGAAGGTATTTCTTGCTGTCATGTAGCTGAAAAATACATCTTAATGTTATTTTCCTACATGTTTCATATAACCAGTTTGGCCCACTGCACATGGTGATCTGAAACTGTCATCTTCTAAAAATGTACAGGGAATGAGACAGATTTCTCCTGCTCACTATGAGTATCAAGTGCATCATGAAAATGTGTTTTCTGATTCTCTGAATAATGGCACTTCTAATAAAATACAGCTAAGTGTGGCTAGGTCCGGAAACCTAAAATAAATAATCAGAAGCATATCTCATTAGGATTGATTACTAGGATCTTAGGCTTCCAGAGATGCAATTTTTCTGATGAATGAATACTGTAAAGTGAATATTTTTAAGTTCAAAATTCAAAGGAATATACTGATCCTGTCACTTGAGCTCCTGTTTAGCACAATGTTCTGCCTAGTTAACCAGTGCTGGAGTTAAGCCAGCCCCGCAGAAAGGCAATCAGTGTTGCTCTGGAGCAACCAGCAATGGTGATTGCACAAAGAGAAAATCCAGCATAGAGGAGGGAAACAGAAAGTAGAGGGTTTGAAGGCTGCTAGTTTAAATTTTGTGTTAGTGATGGAATCATTCCTCAATCTAGGTAAACTTCAAATTAGGTCATACTCACAATACAGATGCTCCATTCCAAGAAAGAATGACTCTAAATGCATCTCTGTGCACAGATAGTAACCAGAGCTTTTCTTCATGGCTAGGGAAACATGAATAAATGTTAATTTGTACATTTTTACCTCAGTTCAATTACGATATTCATATATGGAAAGATTCAACTTCCGTTAAATTAGTAAGAGGCCAAAAAGTGGGGTGCCATACAAAATACAAAACATGATAAAACATTATAAAACACAATAAAAGCTGCTGGAGACATCAGCATCTCTCTATGCAAAGAAAATCCATTGCAAAAAAAATATAATGTGTCAGTTTGATGTTAATTCAGTTACTATTCATGGTATATTTCTGTGTATTTCCACAGAATTTCTCATGGCTCTTTGAAACTTGCTTATTAGCTATGCCTAGAGAACTATGGCAGACTTGCAAATTCTGTGAGAAAGAAAATAATTTAAAACAAAGGCATTAGAAACCCAAAAGTAAATTACAAGCTAATTACAGAAGAACTTTAACACTACATAATTGGATATGGGTATTGCGGTCTGTCAAGATGTAAAGAGAGAAAAGATTCATTCAGTCTTTCACAGTTCAAAGAACTTTTGTCCTATTTCTAACAAATTTCTCTGATGATAATACAAAAATATAAAACCAAAACCACAAATTGTATCAATGTCAGTATAATACTGTCTCTGGAAGTTCAAAGGAAATTCATGACACATCAAGCCAGCTTAAGGTCACTGCATTTGATTCTAAGAACCAAAACTTTCTTTAACCAGCACAGAGAAATTGTGATCATCTGTGGGTTCCTGATATCTCTTTCCCCTTGGATTCTCTATTTGAAATAAACAGGAATGTGGAAGGTAAAACAAGAAATCAGTCCATCAGTCTTTAATGCCAAGCCTCAACCTCTCAAGATTCTCTTTGTGTTCTTAGGCTAATTGCTGCTTGGATATATATTCATTCCACAGAAGTCCCATGCAGATTCCAATCCTCCACATCAGTTCAACAAAGATCTGCTCCTCTCTCTGCTTTCAGCAGGTTTTCACTGAAACCATTGGGTCCCTGCAATTGGAAATTCCTCCAGGCTGTAGAGTTCAAAGCTAGACACAGACAATACCAAAGTTCAGGACGACATATACAACCAAGGAATTGCCATCCTAGAAAACCCTCATCTCTAGTTTGCTATCAGTATAATCACAGCAGAGATTTAACTTTTTTCTCCCCCCAGTATTCAAACTTTGCAGAATGTCATGTGTCCTAATATTCCCTTTTCTTCCTCCCTGAGCTCTAGGGATTCATCTCCTTATCAAAGAATCTGCTCCAAAGCTCACTCAGGGCAACAGAATTCTTGAAGACAGATTCAAGAAGCAAAAGCAGTTACAGTGCATGTTGCTGCTGTATTATCTCTTTTCAGTGTGTTTTCCAGTGTGAGATAATGTTTGCTTTCCTTGCTGCCAACACATTACTATCTTCTATCTCTTCTAACATACCTACTAAGACCTTGTACATTCCAGTGATATTTTAAGCCAGAAGCTCTTAAAGCACAGGTCGTGACACATTGCCCAAGGGTCATAAACCTATTCCCCTTCCCTGCCTCTGCTCCCCCTCTCAAACAGATTTGCTTAGTCACTTGCCAGCAGTCCTGGAATGGCAGCAGCACTCTATAAATCACTGTGCCCATTCCTGTGTGTTTACCGGGAAGCCCCGTGGGAATCAGCCTGCAGGATTGTGGGACACATCTAAGAAGGTCACATAGAACACAAGCAACTGCAGAGTCACCTCAGGGAGTGAGGATGAGGATACCTCATCACAGTGATTAGCAAGATAGATGACACCAAAGAGCTCATGATCCAGTTCAGATTTTAAGTGTCCAAGGATCTCTGAAGGGCACAGATGGAGGGAGACATATCAAAACTCACTGGTAATAAGCTTCACAAAAGCATTTTCTGTGTGGATCTGCCCCTTAGTGGCACAAGGACATAAACCTCCTTGCAAGTTCCTAAGAACTGTGTTCCCTGGTTATTTCTGTATGTTGTGGACAAAGGAGAACAAAAAGAGGTCTCTGGAAAACTCTGTTTTTCCTTTTGATCCTCAGATTGTCAAGTGACCAAATGATGAAGCCCCTTGTATCTTCCATAATTGTGCAGGTAGCAAAAAATTCCCCATGCATCAGAGCTGTATGTGTCCAGTTCCTCTGGTGTGTTTGGCTGATGACTTCTTGTACACAGGAGATGGATCATGGCACTGGACTCTTAAAAATGCTCTTGCATTGTACCACACAGGTCTGTGACATGTAGATGCCAATCTGCAGTAACTTGGATGTCACATGAGTGGGAAATAAAAAGCCTGACTTCTGCTAAAATTAAATAATATGGATGGAGGAAACAAAGCATGTTATGCTTGAAATGAAGTCCCATCTGTGTGCCTGACACTGAAAATAGCTACTTTCACTGGGAAAGCCCCTTTCACATTTCCTTTGGGCACTAGCCACTTGAATGCAACTTCCTTAGCCTTTTGGTACAGACTTATAGCAGAAAAAAGCCAGTTACAGATGATTCCTTTTAGGGTGGTGTGAAAGACAATATAATTTAAGACAGAGGGATATTACTGCAGTCTTCTGGTTGTGTCACCTGATAGCAATACAGACTTATTTTTGGGTATGGGTTATGCCTGACGTGCTTGTATGGAAACAACTCAGAAGTTAAAGCCTTTCAACACAACAAGGTCCACAGAGAGAAGCATTACCCTAATGTTTCTTCCTACTAACTTTACCTTATTTATATACTTGGATCATCTTGGATCAAACATTGTTACTACAGAAGCATAATATTTAAATATTTCAAAATATAGCTGAAACACTGCTGTCCTGGTTCCAATTCTCCTGAAAATGCCTCTATCTGGAGGTAGCTTTATCTAGTTCATGTTTCAAGATGCATTAAAGCTATTGAGGAAAGTTATGCAAAGCTAGATCCTGCTTTATGAAGTGTGGATCCAGGGCACAACTCCTCTTTTGTGGCAAAATTTTCAGAAACACTTAGGATTTAATTCCAAGAAAATCGTGTAAACATTGCTCTAAGGCAATCACTTCTTGGATCCTTATTTAGCTGGTTTTGTAATTAAATTATAGGATCAACAGCAGGGGTGGATTCACATGTTCTGCTTGTGAAATGAGTGGTTTGAAAAATAATTTCTATGAAGAAAAATATGGTAAACCTGGAACTTTTAATGCCATTAGCAGGGAAGTACTGAAGCTGGGCATGTACTAAAAAGGAGGTTTAACGTCACATTGTTTTGACTGCCAAGTCGAGGCAAGGCTACTGATTGCTGGCAAAAGCTCAGCAAGCCAAGAATTATCTTTATGCCTTTTGGCTTGTCAGAAGAATTACATTTAAATTGTTTCTAGAGCTGAGAAATGTGTAAAAATGGTGTCCCACTTCAGGAAATCATACTGAAGAAGGGCAGATGATCGCAGTGTACAAAAGCACTTAAAAATTAGGAAAGAGAATTAATATATTTTTCGTTGATGATCCTGTATCTGATTGTAAATATTGCAGTCCTCCAGCTCCTATAAATATTAGATTGAATTTATATTGTTTTTAATTAGTTTGGACAATTAGTTGAGCCTTACATAAGCACAGGGAAGAGAAGAGGACCTTGGAGAGTGAGAGAGGCAAAAAACATCTCAGCATGCCTTCTTTCCTCCTCAACATTCTGATTTTGCCTCAAACACGGCACAGTGAGTCCCAGGCTATTCTTGTCCCAACATTCTGATTTTGCCTCAAACACGGCACAGTGAGTCCCAGGCTATTCTTGTCCCCTTGGAATGACCTGAGTGCTGCCAGGGGGACAGAGTGACAGCCCTGATGCTGTGGCAAGAGAAGCTCCCTGTTTCTGGGAAAGGAAGAGAGGATATCTCTTGAATTTG